ATATATTATCATCACTGCATTTCACATAAAAATAGAATAATGACGGAATAAATAAAGGATGTCCTATTAACTGGACAAACTCTACTGATAAAGTACCTCCTGATGCCGAGAAGAGCATCACAGCGGTCAGGGTGAGCAGAAAGATCCAGCGACTGACGGAGAGAGACGTCCACATGTTCAAACCATTCACAGCGACAAAGACTGATCTGAAAACTGTTTCTTTATTGACTAACAGCTCAACTCGCCAAAGTGTGATGATGAGTGAACCAGGGAGGGGAGATCTTATATACTGCAGCTTCACGCTAAATGAGGAACCCTTGTTGTCATGCGCAGTGTTTCTGGACACACTCACACCCTGAAGGAGTTTGTGGATCATGTCCATATATGTTCTGCTTTGTTTTGCACTACAATGAGTCCGTGTGCAAAAATACGTGATTCAAGGCAATTCTAGTGAAAAGTGTGAAAGTCACAAGTGTAAATCCGTTTCTCCTTTTTTAAATGTGCATGTTAGCTATCCACCCTGAAGGTGGAGGAGTTTGTGGATTTAGGTTCCCAGAGACCATGGCATTATCTTGAAAAAAATTGTTTTGTCCAACCAACAAGCTACAAATATATGTTGGAAGAAAATGCTGACAGATGTTGCATCACTCATTCTGACACTTGTTTGGAAAGGAGGATATAAAAACACTGCAAAACAATTATTTATTTGTCCACTTGGTGGCAGCACAAACACGTTTTGAACAAATCGGTGACAAGTTGATATGATTAACATTTTTAGCAGTCTTATTTAGCTGCTGCAGAGCATTTTTTTAATCCACCTTGCAGAAAAAACTAATTTGCTTTGAACTAAATAAAAAGCCCCCACCCCTCACTGTAACATTCTTTAATTAATTAAAGTAAACAATCTGAACCTTTTGGCTTTGGTTTAATTTAAGCCGCCTTTTCAGATGATTCAACGTAAGAAAGGGAGTAAGAGCTTGGGCAATTCATAATATGACTCCCTTCATAAAACACATGAATGTAATGACAAGTACTCATTCAGAGAGGGGTTTGTCCACTGAAGTACAGACAGTTATTAATAAAGCGTACTGACTAATCACACAGTTCTTCTGGATTCACTGTTTCCATTACTACTTACTACACAGAAAACCCCATCAATGCACTGTCAGTACTGCAGTATAACAATATACCGTGAACATGCAGAAAATCAAGATTCAGTCACATTTTAAAAGCCAACAAATGATTTATTTTGTTTACAGGTGCATTTAACAAAACATATGACTTTGTCCAAATGTCCACAAAATGGTTTTAAGGCTGTAGGAAATGACCTGCATGTTTTATCCAGCACATTTTCCCCAGTAGCTGCCATGCTGCATCCTTTTTGCTATTCCAGTTCATCTTCATCCAGGACTTCAAATCCTTTTCTCAAATTGGGTGAGATATCTGGAGAACAGTTTAATCCCTGTGTGTCGAGAGTGAAAGGGTAAAGGAGAGAAAAGGAAATTAAATTAATGATATCCTTGTGAATCCTTGTGATGAGTTTTACTGCTGATTTATGATGCTTTCTTTGGTAATTCATTATTTTACGCCTCTGTGGCTAACTAATCATTTTAAAAAACGATGTAATTTGATACAAATCATTGGTGGAATTGATTCAAGTTAATAAACGCTAGTATAATCAATAGAATATGTAGAGATTCTTTCTCACTGGAATTATTGTTTTGTCTTCATTTGGCACCACATGACAAAGTTCTACCCAGGAAATATTTATATATTAAAAGTATAAATATGATCATTGCATTATTCTGTAAATGTGAAACAAACCTTAGCTGTGAAAGTATTTTTTTTTTCTTTCTCAGAGTTAGTTTGATAAAATCTACATTGCCTGATGCAAGCAAACCAGCAATGGAAGTAAACAACATCTCAGGAACGTCACAATCGGCTCAATTGGAAACATTTTGTAAAGCTGTCATCCTGCAGGGCTAGGAACGGCTTTCATTCTTGAATTATTCACACTGTGGCTCGTCATGCTGCCTGTTTTTTATCACTGATACTCACCGCTTTCAGACGTTCTTGGAGCCATGGAGGTGTTGGTTTCACACAATACAGTTGACCGTTTTGATCAGTAATCCTAGAAACAGGGAAATACAACAATTAAGCACGTTCATCAATGCCTGAATGTTGACGCTTTTCTTCTTGAACTAACCCTCATTATTACTCACTCGGTCCAAAAAAACATGCCACATCACTCCGATCCTTTCTGCCCTGCACTGGCTCCCTGTCCATCTCAGAACCCAATTCAAGGTATTGGTCTTCACTTATAGAGCTGTCCATGGCCAAGCCCCAGCCTACATTAATGACCTGATCCTCCCTCATAGCACAACCCGGGCCCTGAGGTCCTCTGAGGTCCTCTGAGCAAGGCCTCCTAAGGGTGCCCCGAACCAGGCTAAAAACCAAGGGGGACCGTGCCTTTGAGGTGGTGGCCCCAAGGCTCTGGAACAAACTCCCCCAGACACTTATGGCGCATTTCCACTACACGGTCGGCCTCGGCCACACTCGGTACGGCTCGGTACGGCTTGGCCGCGTTGGGCCTTAACAGGGCCGACTCACTTCATGCTGCGCTTCCATTACAGTTTAGGAACTGGGGTAGTTACTATAGTAACGCAGTGTAGGCGGAGCCGTGACGTCATCTTCAATGAGAAATCCAGAAACACAACACAGCCGTTAGCTGTGAGCACTCAGAGCTCACAGCTCCTTATATATGTTCAGAAACTCGACAAAAGTTAAACAAGTACACACCACAGACTGCCTGTGTCATGGTGAATACAGTCGCTGCCTTATTTATGTCTGTATAGGCCGTTGTTGTGAGTGTGGACGGTCGGGGCATATACTGCGTTAGCTTAGCCAATCTCCATCTAGAAAAACACGAATTTTAAAAGGTTTTTCGCCTGCCGTCTGTCTGCAGACTTGACAAAGCATTAATTCATGGTTTTTACTAACCGGTATCAGTATGTTGTTACTTCGGCATCATTTTGAAACGTGTATTACAATTAAATCACGGTCAAATATGTCCATCTTGTTGTAGTTCTAGCCCTCTTGCCAGCGCTCCTCTCTCTAGTTTAGCATACTCAGCCCGACTCAGCCCTGTTTGTTGGCCCCGATAGAACCACAATTTTCTAGGGCCAGAAAAGAGGGGAAAAAGTGGCCCCGCGCCGTGCCGCGCCGGAACGAGGCCTAGTGGAAGCACAACCAAAAAAGGGGACGGCACGACACGGCACGCTTAAAGCGAGCTACGCGCTGCAATGGAAATGCGCCATAAGAGCCTCTGCCTCAGTAGAGATTTTTAAGGGGCAGTTAAAGACCCACCTCTTCCGTCAGGCCTTTGGGGCATCGGAGGAGGTGAGTTAGTAGCTGTCTTTTATTGGTGTTTTATCGTATGTTTTATCCTATGTATTACCTGCTGTTGTTTTATGCCTTTTTATGCCTTTTATTCTACATTTTAGTTGTACTGTGAATTGTGTACTGTACTGTAAAGCACTTTGTACATTCGTGTTGAGAAGGGTGCTATATAAATAAAGCTTTACTTACTTACTTACTTACTTACATTAAACTATCACTATTTAAATGTGTGGAGAGGGTACAGCACAGTACATACATTTTCCTCTGATTACTTAAATTGGAATAACAGTTTATTTAATTTTACAGGATTAAGACTACAGTGAAGGAAGTGGAGGAGAAATTGCTGCGATGTCACTGAGTGTGCTCGGGTCTCCTGAGGTACGTCTTAACTAGAATAACATTTGACATTAGAGATGACAGCAGACTTACTTGTAGGCATCGTGCCTGCAGCGGGGTCGCGGTGTCTGCTTATAGCAATGCTTGATTGGATTAATCTTAGGTGTTCTGAAGGGTTGGCAGCATTTCATATGTCTATGTGAATCAACTACAACAGACAGAGAGAGATCATTAATATGTGTTTTTCTTTTGGAAAAATAACAATGTTACACACAGCACGAGGTACCCAGAGAAAAAGATTAATTTAAGATTCATCAACATGATTTTTCAATATATATTATCATCACTGCATTTCACATAAAAATAGAATAATGACGGAATAAATAAAGGATGTCCTATTAACTGGACAAACTCTACTGATAAAGTACCTCCTGATGCCGAGAAGAGCATCACAGCGGTCAGGGTGAGCAGAAAGATCCAGCGACTGACGGAGAGAGACGTCCACATGTTCAAACCATTCACAGAGACAAAGACTGATCTGAAAACTGTTTCTTTATTGACTAACAGCTCAACTCGCCAAAGTGTGATGATGAGTGAACCAGGGAGGGGAGATCTTATATACTGCAGCTTCACGCTAAATGAGGAACCCTTGTTGTCATGCGCAGTGTTTCTGGACACACTCACACCCTGAAGGAGTTTGTGGATGATGTCCATATATGTTCTGCTTTGTTTTGCACTACAATGAGTCCGTGTGCAAAAATACTGATATTTCAACATCATGATTGAAGACAATTCTAGTGAAAAGTGTGAAAGTGTAAATCCGTTTCTCCTTTTTTAAATGTGCATGTTAGCTATCTTTGCAATACCTTAAATTTTTACAGTCAGATTATTTGCAAAAATGGGCACTTTGGTGGCCTGCTTTCACAGATTTGTTCAAGTTAATACAATTTTTCCGTTTTTATTGTAATGTCATTCTTATATATTCTATTTAAATGCCTGTCTGGTCTTTGTTCCCCCTATTTGTATAACAACCATTGCTGTCTGGTTTAAAAGTGACACTGAGTCAACCAAAAAGTCCCCATTCATCCTCACTGCTCTGCCGCCAAAACATCACATCATCGCACATGTGGAAAAACAAGAGCCAGTCCCATTTTGTATCAGTTTCACATCATTTTATTTTTAGTTCCAGGTTCAAACAATACAAACTCTGCCATTACTGTCATTGACACATTCACAAGATAATGCCACACTATGTATGGCTGTATAAAGATAAATAGAAAAATAAGTTACAAATGTAAATAAATATTTAGTTAAAAGGAATAAATAGTAAATTATCAGGAAAGGTTCAGAGTAGCTGCTTCGCCGGGACGATTTTCTTCTTCATGGACATCTTCCTTTTAAAGGTGAATATCTGGAGCACAGTGTATCTCTCCCTGCAGTGGAGAAGGAGAGGGGACAGGAAGTGTACAATTAGACAAGTCCATCAAAATAAGGAAATATTTATTCATTTGTTTTAATATTTGATCTGTTGGTTTATGGTTGCTTCAACTTGTCTTCCCAGTGGGTACGTACTTTGAAACTCCTGCTTTTTTATCATATTTAAAACATTTATTTGATTAAAACTGCTGTTGTTGCCCAATCGAAAATATAATCAAAAATTTAGAAAACTATTTGAGTGATGCTTGAGTGATTATCTGTATTGTTATTGAACGATTTCACTCGCTCTGTAATTTAAAACGTGAACATTTGGTTTCCTGAATGACCTCATTTTCTCGTGCTTGTGTGACTTATTGTGTGATTTGTCAGATTCTCACCTTCTTTATCATCTCTTTGAGCCACACAGTGTCTGGTTTGATGCAAACAGTACGCCTTTTGTTTTTAACCCTGGAAACAGACACATTTTCATTATCTGAATGTTTGGAAACCATGCAAACATTTACCATTTCACAGAATTCCTTATGTCACCAAATTACACCTAAAGGAAGTTCAATACGGGCAGTAATACTGTATGTGTCACTAGCAACTGAATTTCAAAAATCACATCATTTTCATTTGCATTGTGTCACAAAATATTGAAAAAGATGAATATTAAAAGCAGAAATTGCTAGTTGGGAAAATAATTCCCAAATAAATGTAAACTAAATGTTATAAAAAGGAATTGAATTCAGATGGTTTGAGACTTTGATCCTGAAAAGTCAACTTCCTTCAGTATATACTTCCACATTCAGTTCTCACAATTCATTTTGTTTTTTCACACATCGATTTGTACAATAATCTGGTAATACAATCAATGTTTTCCTGAATGAAATCAGTAGAAAAAGAGTAGAAAAGAGCGGTTGTTACTGAGTCGTAATCAGATGTAATGCTTACACGAAGGCGTGGTTGCAGTTCCTTCGTTGCATCTGTTCAACACACGATTGGATTCGCTGGATCTTGAAGTCGGTGCACGGCGTTCTCCAGCAGGTTAAATGCTGACCCCGGGCCCCCACTGCAACAACACACACACACACACACACACACACACACACACACACACACACGCAAGAGATACGTTGTTATTCAGCGTTACATCAGTAGTGTATAGAAACATGTCACACTCTGGATTCCTCCAAGGCGCACTGTAGCCATGGTTACAGTTCCCTGAATTACTGCTAATTATTTATTTTTTATGGCTGAATCAAATAACGTTATTACTAAATTTGGCTTAAACTAACAACACTTTTTCTATTCTATTATTTTATTTCAGTTGTTAATCTAATACTAGATAAACTAGACTAAAATGTATGAAAGTAAATTGATTGACTTGAAGAAAATATGAATGTTGTACATTTACCCTTTTTCCCCTTAATTTTCATCATAATCTATGCCGTTAGAATCCATAAATTGGTGTATCAACACCCATTTTTGATTATTTATTCAATATCTTTGGATTCTGTAACTGCCACTTTGACGGGGCTGATGGTAATGATTATTTTAATGAATTAATCTGCCAATTATATCTCAGAAAATGTTAATATTTGATTATTATGATTTTCTAAGAGCCAATTAGGACATCCTAAATTCCTCTTTTTGTCTGATTATCCAAAGCAAATTTCTTCAAATTCTAAGACACACATTTTACGTAAATCAACATTCAAAGAGGAGTTCAGTGTTACCTTTTGATACAGAGAGGAGCATCACAACAGCCAGGGTGAGCAGCAAAATCCAACGGGTGACAGAGCGTGTTGTACTCATCTTCAAATCTTCAAAGTGACTCTGGATCTCAGCTTTAAAGCGCTTTGTAGTTCTGTAACTCTACTGAGTGTAATGATGAATGAACCGGACAGTTGGGATCTTATATACCTCAGCTTCACACTAAAAGAGGAACCATTGTAGTCATGCACATGTTCATAGAATGGAAACAATAATGCTGCAGAGGTGACAAGGCGGCGGGGGGGCAGAAGCTCTTGCGCTAAAAAAAGGTAGTAGTTTTTCCAACATGTCCATATAAAGTATGTCCTACTGTAGTTCTGTGTGTTGTTGCTGCAGGACTTGTCATCCCCCTCTCTCACTAATACTTGCATCAAAATTGAACCGAAATGACACACGATGATATACAAAACACCTCATTGCACATCTGTCATCATACCTTTTATTTGGGGTTATTTTTTATGCTTACGATCTCCTAGTTCCAATAATTGTAAATCATGATGTTTAATATCAGTATTATGTATTAAGGAAACAAAATTACAAGTGACGTATAGCAGCAAACGCTTGAGCTCTCTTAGAGGTCAGAATAAGGTCATGAATGAATGAGTTTAAAATGTATTGTGTAATTTGCTTGTGAAAAGGAGCTGATACACTGAGGTTTATCCCAACAAATGTTAGGGCGGTTACACCTACGTTTTCCTGTGTCCTAACTATGAACTGGTCAGAAAGGGAAGTCAAGGATTAATTTGAACTATTTCATGTGTCAGTAGAAGAAAATGTTTAAGATATTTGCACAATTATGTAAATGTGTGTAGTTTCTTTTTGGTTTTCTTCCAACCCTAATCCTTTCTTTTTCAAACCTGCAGAACCCAGTTTACGCTCTTCCTGTTACTGGTACTGAAATAACTACTAAACCTGGGTGCCAAGTACCTCCTCCAAAGTGGTTATTGACACAGGTAAGAGCATATTGTTCATTCACTACCCCTACCAACATTCACACAATTGATGTACAAACACTAAAAACATGTAATATGCAATCATTTGTTGACATTTCATAATCAAACGTGCGCCATTCGTGTTACTCAAGGTCATTCTTAGTTACAGAAAATCAACAAAAAAATTATAATCACAAGATAATAATTAGATCGTTGTTAAGCAGTTTTTATTTCATTAAGGCAGCTGAATGACAGGTGTCAACTCCCGCCATATTTGGTGAATGACTGTGCCTTGATTCATATGCTTCCTAACACCACAGCTACTACTGTGTAACATATAAGGTCATAGAGTGCAATAGATAAGTATGTTGACTAATTCTTTTCTAATGAACAATGAGGTCATAAAGCCAATTACGTGCATTATTTCAGTAGGGTGGAAATGATTACAGTTCAGGTTTTCTTATAATTTTTTGTGAGCAAGTAGAGAGGAAACCCACATGTATGAGCCTGTATGGAGACACACTTAAAATAACTAATTGACTCACACACTAACTCTATTTATACATCCACTGTTACCACTATAGCCTAAAACAGTCATAAAACCACGAGAGGCTTCTGGAAACCCTAAAAGAGGAATTACTCGCAAACAGCTTCAACCAAAATATTTAAAGTACTTGTCCATGCCTGTGAAATTATCTAACAGTGTTCGACCAATTCGTTTTTTTAATTCAAAAGTCCACACATAGAGTTTGCTTTGCTTTCACCAGCATCTTACAGTCTTTACCAGCGATATGTTTTAATTTGTACTCTCTGTAAAAGTCACCAGTGTCATGTCATATTTTTCTGACTGAATTGGACTGAAAACTTTTAAATACTTTGCTGCAAAATTCAACATATAATTAATAAAAGTCAGTGTGATTTATGAAGATTAGTGCGTCCTTCTGAAAAGCATATTTTTTATAAATCTGGGGCAACTATTAATTAATCCACCGATAAGTAAATTAATCATTTACATATCTGCAAGCTAATGTTTATGATTTAAACTTGCTTGATTTGTCTGACCTGAAAATTATTTAATAAATGTACCTACATAATTCACCTTTAAGTTCATTGATAAGTTGAGTAATTGTTAATGTACCTAGTTGTAGCAGCTCTAATGTCATTCAAAAGCAACATCTAGTTAACAATGTGGGCTATTGTTTGCCTCAACAACACCCTTGAAGTGGAAAGTCCCCTGCTGGTCAGCGGTCTCACATATGAACAGCGTCGTCAAGACAAAAGAAAAAGAGGAAGAAAGATATGGGCAAGGTTCATTGATAGATAGTATCTGTGTGTTGCATCATGCAAGTGTGTCAACATTATTATCCGTATATCTTTGGGAGGGCGTTTGTCTGTAGCTATTTTAACAGTTAAACAGAATTTTCTAAAGGTTTCCATGGTGACTCAGCTTTTTCATATTGTCACCTTACGTGTTCACCTTGTTTTTTCATGACAGCACCTCACAACGACCTCTTCTTTGAATTGCACAACGTTATCGCATTTAAACAAGCTGGAATAATTACGACCGTTGCTACCACTAAAGACAATTTCCTCTGTCTTATTATGTTAATTTTGGGGGGTTCATATTGACTAAAATACTTGGAAATGACACAACACAAACTAATGGGACATGTTGAATTATTCAGGCTGATTTTGTTCTCTTTTATTTGACAACATTTGACAGTTTTGAGTTATAAAAAAAAAGGTTTACATTCAAACAATGTAGTATTCCCGGTTAAAGAAATAGATAACATTTACAATATTGTAATATTACAAATAAAAGTATCTGGTTTAAAAGACTAATACAAACGTAACACCATGCATTGCTTAATTTTGCCATTGTGAAATAAATGTGTTTACTCCATCTAAAAATAGTTTCCACCATGTGTGGCCATTCCATTGTATTTTTTTAAATTGACCGCGTTACGTGTTCTCGCGAGATCTGAGCAACAGCGCCCCCTTGTTTGTGTGTGGAAAAGCGACGGGAGATATGAGGAATACTCCGCGGCTAACGATAGCAAGGTACACAAATACGGATTTATTTCACTTTCGCTCTTCCCTGGCACTCTGGGGGTCTACCAAAAGCTGCAGGAGGACATAATTTCGTCCGAACTCTTGATTTTGCTGTTACATTCCCGCGTAGGCGACTAGCGCGTACGAGAGAGTCTCGCTAATCCCGAGAAGAGGGGGAGCGGCCTTCTTTTGTAGCCGGCTTTTGGTGCACCTCAGGCGGCAAGCACTGTCACCAGAGCTCGGTGCTTGTGCTGGTTCATTTTTCTTAACACCAAAAAAAAGCGTTAGAGCTTTGACATTACTTTAGTTTTATTAACCACAACCTCTTCACGAGCTTCCCCGCTTCATGTCGACGTGCTGCTGTTGATGTGTTTCACCCAAGAGGAGCATTTGGAGCCGAGGCGGCCTGTTTTGTTTTCAAGCCGCCTTGAATCTGAACAATAACACAACCATAACGAGCCTGCTGGGGCTGCACTGCCTGGCCAAATTGGAGCCTCCGTGTGAGATAATAAATGCTTTGTTTGACACCAGCTCTGGACCGACGTGAGAGCACGGGACCAGCATGCATGTGGACTATGGCATTATCGGGGCAAACCACTGCAAACCGGAGCACTTTGCCACGAAAGCCCCTGTTTGAATTTCCGAGTGTCTACTGCTAGCTATCCAGCTGTAAGTAACGTTAGTAAGGCCACTAACGGAGGAAAGAGCGCCACACGATGCTTTGTCTAATCATAACTCACGGACTGTATGGAAACAAGACACATCGACGTGGATGAGCCGATGTTTATATGCATGATCGGCCTGATTGTGGATGCATTTATAATCTTTCCTACCAAAAGCAGCAGTACTTTCAGAGCTGGGACATTACTTTGAGTATGTGATTTGGGATGAGTAACCTCGATTGCTCCTTGCGCAGACTCTTATATATGTGGGATTTACCAACTTGGAATTGAAGCCCTTTACATCCATCTATGCTCTCTTCAAAGCCACCAGACTCCATTGACAAAAACAGTGATTTTAGCGCACAGAGCACGGGAGTCGCTGCTCTACCGCTGCCTCCATCGGTTTGTTTGTTTGTGTGATTTTGGTGTTTTGACGTATTAATACATCGGACCGGAGCCCCGGGACAGGCAGCTGAGATGAACCCGGTGAATGCGACTTCTCTCTACGTGTCCGCGAGCCGCTCGGTGCTGCAGTGCGACCCCCGAGACCCCCGGGCCCTCGCGGAGCTCTGCAAGCTGTTGCCCTTCTTCCGCCAGTCCCTTTCCTGCCTTGTCTGTGGTAAGTTTGTGTGGATTTTATTAATTTTACAAACGTGATAGTGGTGAGAAAGGTGTTTTTTTTTGGAGAGATGTGGAGTATGGGTGCCTTGTTGTCAGCTGTGCTTGCAGTGGGAGCGAACCTTTTAAAAAAGGCTGCTTTCACTTACAGTCGGAAATATATCAATCGGAACTAGTAATGACAAATGAACCAACAATCCACAGTGGTGTGGAGCAAGCAAGTACTCATTTCAGTTAAAGGTACTTGCAAACAGTATTATTGTGGTGAATTAATAATAACGATACAAATAGGAGAAAACGAAGTGAAATAAAATTGAATAAATAATGCAGTAAAAGATTGTGAATTGAGCAATGCAAAAATAAATAATAGGAAATCATTGTTTAATATGTTTTTAAACATTGGCTTTGACAGGTGGTGGAATTATGTTGCCTTAAAACATGTTTTGTTGAATAGTAATTTATCCTATTACTATCAAACTAACCGACTAATACAGAATACATATGATATTCTCCCTAAAGCAGGTGCAACAATACATTGCTGCTTACATGTACATCATCAACTAGTAACACACATCCTAGTGGAATTGAAATCAACTCATTCTGAATGATGTTGTCAAGCATTGGACTATACATCATAGCAGCTTCACTTAAATGAATTACACGTCGTGTTTATGATGAGACGAAACCACATTTTCCGAAGCGCGCTGAACGCATCATATTTCTCAGCAACACCCACCGTGACACACCCCCCTCTGTGTGCTGTAAGGCAGCATCGGGGCGTTTCTCGGTGTATCGTGTTGAATAGCAGTCTGCCTCACACTATATTATGCACCTAATCTCTTTCGTACCCTTGTAATCCCCAAATACACAACCAAATAAAATATGTGCTCAAAAAAAAGTAGAGTAGTACCTTACGGTGTCTAATCAAAACATGATATATTACTGTCTGTAAATGTAATAGAAAACTGTCTGTTATTCGAGCGAGGGAGCCTTTTTTTTCTTCTCATCTTTGATTTATTTTGGTGGTTTATCTAATGCATGGTTTTCACTGCTCATCCATAATGTAGTAACTCTCCCCCCTAACCATAGTCAGTACAGGGTAAAGGAGAGTGTTTTGTTGTGATTGCTACCACTCTATTAAAGGACTCGCACATAACCTCCTCCACTATATAAATAATAAATCAATATAAAAGCAGTCCATACATTGTGTTAAATATAGATTCTATGCAGTTATGTGGGATTTATGAGGCAGGCCGTGTAGAGTGTGTAAGGTTTGTTGTTTCTCATGAATGGACCTTCATGCTTTTTCCCCCAATCTGCAGCTGCACTACCTAGCGACCAGCGTTGCTAAGGAAGCTCCTCTCAAAGAGCGGTTGTCATCCAGTCTGGCAAGTTGCCAGGCCCCGCTCAGGTTAACAAATACACATCAGTTTACGAAGCAAAAAAACAACAAATGAGGAAGCAAGCTTTGTAAATCCGGAAAAAAATTCAGCTACACTGACAGTTTTAAATCCACGGTTATAATGTATTTGATGTGGGTTTGTTTGGACATTTATGTGACATTTGTTGCTTAGATAACACTTCTATTGATGTCAGGCTCTGTTGCTTTAACTGGCTCCTGTGAAAATCTGTGAATTAATCATCAGTGGGAGCTGCTCTGCACTATTCCTGTGAAACGTGTGATGTATTCATGTTTTAAACATTTGCTCTTTCTCTCTTTGATCTTCAGGTAATCTGCTGCAGGACCCTATCGCTCCCACCAACTCATCATGTCAGCACTACGTCTGTCGAGGCTGTAAGGGTCAGAGGATGCAGTTGAAGCCGTCATGTAGTTGGTGTAAAGACTATTCCCGCTTTGAGGAAAACAGGCAGCTCTCCTTGCTGGTGCACTGTTACCAGAAGCTCTGTCTCTACATCACGCAGTCGCCGCTCGCCCCGCACATAGCCAGCGCCGCCAGCGACTCGCCGGACCTCCAGGCCATCCTCAACGAGGGCCTCACGTTGGCTGAGAGCGAGCCGGAGGCCGAGGACGTTTCAGATTCAGCCAGCCTGTCGCCCACGGCCTCCAGCTCCATCGTGGTTCAGCCTGATGAAGCTCCGCCTACAAAGGAGCTCAAGGTGGAAGAGCTCAAGGTGGAGGAGTCAAGCACCGTCAGTGTGAACGGGCTTCATGATTGTAACGGTCTGCTCAGTTCGGACTCCTTGCAGCCTGTCACCATAGAGACGGGTGTAGGCGCTGCAAAGCAGGAGAGCTTATCGGAGGAGATTCCTGTGTGTGTGAGCGTCACAGGGGAGGCGGGGCTCTGTGAAATCAGCACTTTTGGTGATGACCAGAAACATAGTGGGGGGCCGTTGTTGTTGAGCGTGGAGGAGGTGCTCAGGACTCTTGATACAGACACTGACCCTGATCCCCTCCCCCATCTGGACTGCCCCCCCTCAGTACCTCAGTCCAGCCTCAACGGGCCTCACTGTCCACCTGACTCCTCCCGCCTCATCACTTGCCTCCCTCAAGGGAACAGCCCTCGCCCCCTGCAACCTCACCCGCAGCCCTCCCTGCAGCCTCCCCCCCAGCCCTCCACTGTCACCCCCCACGTCCCCCCTCGTTACCACCGCAAGCGCTCCCGTTCAGAAAGCGACAGCGAGAAGGTGCAGCCCCTCCCCATTTCCAGCTTGTTACGGGGGCCTCCCCTCGGTGCCAACAGCTCCCCTCATCACCCTCACCCTGGTGCCACCACCAAACAGGAGCCTATGTACCCGGCAGTCACGCCTCACCCACACCTGGCCCCGGTGCCGAATGGTGGTCCCCCCAAGGTGGGCAAGACTGTGCTCGTTTCCAACAAGGCGCTGAAAAAGACTGTGGAGCACCATGGGGGCCCCAAGAAGGCTTACACCAAGGCCAGGCAAGGGACCCCCAAGCCCCGTACACAACCCCGTGACAGGATACCCCAACACCCCCATGCTCACCCTCTGACACACCCACCCAGCCCCTCAAAGCCACTGTATAAAAAGCCTGTGGAAAAGAAAGGCTGCAAGTGCGGCCGAGCCACACAGAACCCCTCAGTGTTGACCTGTAGAGGGCAGCGCTGCCCCTGCTACTCCAACCGCAAGGTGAGCACAATGCTGAAAACCCCCCCACATACACACACACTCCAGTCTGCTGTTTTGCTAACGCTGCTGTCCCTGTTAAAACCACTAATGTTTGGATATGCTTAACCGCTAACAGCATATATATTAACAGATTTAATTGCCACCAAGGGGCTCATTACAGCTAACTGATATATAGTTTCTGTGGCAGTCAGGCATGAGGATGAATGATTGTTGACTCAGTCATAAAGAGCTCTGGCTATTAGGGAAGTGAGTCCTCTGTAGAAGTAGTTCCCACACTTTTAAAACCGCAGCTACCTCTAATAGTGATTTTCTTTTCATTGCAAACTCCCACACATACTCAACACACGTGCAATCGTTTCAGCTAAAAATGACACCATGAATGTCTGAATTTAGTTTAACAACATTCAACTAACATAAAATATTAAACTAACATAAAAATATTTTAAAAAACATTTAAATATTCAGGGAGAGAAAACATTACCTTTTCTATGACATCTTGAAGACTATTTTGCAGATGTTTAAATTAAACAAAATAACCTGTTGTTTTCTGTGAATTTAATGATACAGTTGCCTTGTTTTTAATGTGGTGAAACCTGGTATAGAAAAAAAACTTGCTCAATCAAGGTTTATTGACTTGCTTGTTCTGGAGCTTCTAACCCGACCCATGGTCCTCGTCAGCAGATATATTATGCCGATTTTTTCACGGGGCTGTAGAAGTTCAAACTTTACTGCAATTGCTTCAAAAACAAATATTCCTTAATCGGCTTAATTGTTGTTGACGGCTCATTCTTGACTTTTTCGTAACTGCAGTTTTTGATTGAAACAACTACTGCTGATATTAATTCTGATTATTGTTCTGTAGGCATGTCTGGACTGTATCTGCCGCGGCTGCCAGAACTCTTACATGGCCAACGGAGAGAAGAAGCTGGAAGCCTTCGCCGTGCCGGAGAAAGCTCTGGAACAGACTCGTCTCACGCTAGGCATCAACCTTACCAGTATCACCGCGGCGGCCCTGCGCCCGGCCACCAGCTCCCCCGGCAACACCCTTCTCAACGTCACCACGGCTACAGGGACGCCCGTCACGGCCAGCTTCTTATCGGGGGCGGGGCACGACAACAGGGCCTTTGAGGATTCACTGGAGATGCGATTTGACTGCTGAGGTCCCGCCCTCCTCTGGGCAGTCGTTACGCACATTCCCCGCCCCGCTAGCAGGGGGTCGTTCACCTGGGCGTGAAGAAGGCAGCTACAGTGACAGGCGATGGTGAGGGTCACCAGCTGAGGCTGAGGAGGCGTCCTCCGTCCATCGCCAGAAACTGCGCCATGCTTGTGGTCTTGCATACAGAAACAGTGAGAGAGAGAGAGAGAGGAGGAGATGTAGCGTTACTGTATGCGCAGAGATTTCCTTTCAGTGGGATAGTTTTTGTTTTCTCCTCTACTATGGGTCATGTGTAGAGCATGTTGTGTAGCTAGGTTGGGAGTGTGTGAGTGTATGCGTGTGTGTGTGAGTGAGCATGTGAGTGTGTATGTGTGAGGGGAAGGCTTTGGTTTGGAGATGAACTGTATTAGCAGAAACAGAGACATCATCAGAGACTTGTGTAATTTATATAAAGAAACTTTTTGTACATGGAGGAATCAGTTCCCATTTAAGAAGACATTTTATTAAATATTTTATAAGTTACATTCAAAACCAATGGAGGATGGTGCAGGGGGAGACCTGCATTCAACCAGAATATTTTCACACGGGTAAAATGTAGATTGTATTTTGTCTATTCAGTAGACCACTATGAAATGAAAGAAAAGTCCTGAACATAACTGTTAAAGTTAAAAACGTTCACAGTAATAACATTTTTGATATCTTTTGCTGCAAGTACCAGTTTATGAATTTCACACCACCAGCCAAATTCAGTTTCAGTCTCGTCTGTTGAATGTTTATACTCTGTGAGTCACTGTCAGACATCTAAACATTATTCTTAAATGTTATTGTATATTTAAAAAACTTATATGAAACTGAAAAAGTCGTGATTTTTGGAGTAAACCAACCATTTTGGCTGGTGGGGGACAACACTTCTGTCCCTGGTTTGCTGGTATATATGTTGACGATGCAAGTTGTCCTGTTTGCGTGTTCTTGTATTAAGCACTTTTCTCACTTAGCTTAAAACCACCGTATTTCTGACCTGTTCTTCTTGTGTTTAAAACTCTGGTTGATTGCAGGCTCTGCACATTGTTATTCACAAGTTTTGGGTTTCTGGAAAGCTACACACATGCTGCTAAAAACCACAGAGGACACTAGAAGGACAGCACACCCTGTTTTCCTCATCTGTTATTCAGTTTCTGTGTTTAATAAGTTGCGTTAACAACATTTTCAGTATTTATTGGACATCTCCTAACACCGGTTACGTGTCGATTCAGTCTGGACTGTTTCTGTGTCAGTTAAGTTGCTGTCTCCTTCTTAGTGTTAGTCTCCAAACGTTTTTTGTTCTCCCTCGGGCATTTAAATACCTGTAATATAACTGTAACATATTTCCACAGAAAAGAAAGAAAATCAAAAATTTACAAAAGTGTTGTGTCATTATTTGTTTCCCTCTTTCTGTAGTCTGAAGCTTCCTGACAAGCCGTTTCCTGAGAAGCTGCAATCAATCCACTAGAGGGCAGCATTAAGCTTTATGTTCAGGGTGTCCGCGGGGTCTTAAAAAGTATTACAAGTTGATAAATCAATTTAGCGAAAATTAAGGCTATTAAAAAGTATTAAACGGCATTTTCCAAGGTATTACATTTAGCTTGTTTTCAATAAGTATATACATTGTCCAAAGAGGTAGTATTCTAAAGTTTGCCTGCATGTAATCATTGCGTAGGTGTGTAGTGTGATTCTGTGTAGTTTATTTATGGCATCCCGTTGGATTTGACGTCATCTGAACAGGACATCGCGCGCTCACTGCTTGATAGCGCGCGAAGGTCCGTTTACGCCGGTTGTTAAACAACATAGTTATGAGGAAATGCAAGTTTGCGTCCAAATGGTTGGAAGATAAGGAGGAAGGACAATCAATACTGTATATAGTAAATGTGAGGTAAAGTGTGTCGCCAATGTAACCGGTTAAAACTCGAAGTGGCGATGAGGTCTTAAAATGTATGGAAAGGGTCTTAAAAAAGGTCTTGAAAGGTATTACATTTGACTTCAGGATTCCTGCATATACCCTGAGCATTAAGCTTTATGTTGCATAATCAATCATTACTAGAAGGCAGAACTCCCTTTCAAACATCGGCGAACTTCCAACAAATCTTATTAAGAAGACTGAGCAAGGAAGGTTTTTATTCTGTCCACATCTTGTAATTATCTCGCCTTTTTGAGTAGCTTGGAACAAAACCTTTAATAAGTGAGAACAATCCTTCCAAAGTCTACACAGTATTGTTCATCTGGTAAATTAACTGCACAAACTACTAAGGGACTTATTTAAAACAAAAGCTTTTAGAGATCTAGGAAGAAAGCGATCCAGATGAAAGACCGATCCGTGGCCTTTTGGAGTCTGATTTGAAATATTCCAGGCTTTCGCTGACTGAGTCCCTGCCGCTTTGATCTCTTGATTTTGACAAACTGCAGGGCTCTAAAGCTTAATACCACGTTGCACAATTCTTCACTACAGCATGCTTTAATCAGCAAAGGTCCACGTGCTTTCTATCCTTCAACGTGGGATCTGAGGTTGCATTTTCGAAGTAATAGTTATGTGAATTTCAGAAATGATAAACTCTACAAAACCCTCGCCATCTGCTTTTTAAAGGTTTTAATACTGTTAACTCAAAACTTATTAACCTAGTATTCACTAGAAATAAAACAATACAAATCTGTTTGAAAAAGATGATGGTAATGTTCTTCTCTATGGGCATCAGAGGACTTTGACAGTGTCTTTATTTCACATATTTACAGACAAAACCACCGCTTATTTACATTCACATTCAGTTTTTGATTGTTTACAACCTCATGAGTGTACAGGTTTTATTTTTGATGCCTTTTTTCAGGTGTTCCAAGCTACAAAAAAGACTGACTGATGTTTCCAGGTTATCCAATGGATGGCGAACATTCCCCAAGGTACTGACTGCATTTAAATCACTCATCAGGTGTAAAAAAAACAGTGCTGATAACCTCACAATAAGGCCCTCCTTATCTTATCAACTTCAAACCACCTTTTGAAATTATATTTACATTTCTCACTTAATTTTGATGATGGAAACAACTTGAAAACCGCTATAAATTTTTTGCAAAAACAAGAAATTGAAAAAGGTATTTTGTTGTGACTCAAGTGCTACAGTGAATGCAGCATTCATGTCATTGTAAATGTAAAAAAGGAGGCCTTAATTGGAACTCATTATTGTGGACATCCTTTTAGTTTTTTGCTTTACTGCAGTATTTATTACAAACAGTTTAATACATCACAAAAGCAATACATCCCACATTCCTGCTGTTTGGATGCTGATGTGCGTGATTGTTTTCCAAGTCTGCAGGTCACATCTGCAGCTAATCCGAATGACAGAAACCCAACCATTTAGGGAGCATTACATGCACCATTTGGAGCGGGGTTAGGATGGAAGAGCCAACAGCAGAGAGACTGGTGCTGCTGCCAACCAAAACACAGAGCCTGATTTATAAGGAGCACCGTTATAACATTGTAAAACTTTTTAAAGCACATCAAGAAAAAGGTGGTGATTTTCTAGCTTTAATCTTTCAATGTGGCTGCTACGGTTTTAATGTTAGCAGTAGCACGTGGTCAGTAAACTCTCAGAAGTTAGCCTTATGTTTGACATCTTACTGAGGGGACATTAGGGAGAGAAAAAGAGATCATTAAGACCTCAAGACCCAGATTTTGCAGGCTTATTAGAAAAATAAAAAACACAAAATATTGCACAATATTTACATATTTTTACAAACACATCCAGGAACTCAGATCATCACTGATATTCAGCTGATTGAAGATTCATACAAACAATTCTTTAAGGCAGGGACTCCAACTTTACGGGCATTTGATATAAATCAATAAAATGGATTGAGTTTAATTAAAGCATAAAAGTCTAAACTGCTACAACTCACCTTTCCTAAAGGTGGCATGATGTGAGCATGTCTCTAAATAAGTTTAACATTTGCCGTAAAAACAGCTCCCTCTTGTGGAAAATCTGAGAGCCGTTCACACCGTAAGGAAAGCTCAGCTCAAAATTGCGTACGGACGCTAACCTGCGTAAATTAAGTAAGTTCTGTAAACTTATAAAAAACATTTTGATTAAGGTTTTACCAAAGCTATTCGAGACCGGTTAGACCAAATGGAACTTCGTTAAGTAATAAACATTTTAAATTGTTGAAGTCTGCCTTAAGGAAATGTCTGTACAACAGAAATTCAAATCTCTGTTTAGTCCTAGCTGCATCAACTCGAATGCATTTAAGAACAAATATTTGTTGATCGATTAGCTCTTAGACATTCACATCGCATGTGAAACCAGTGTTGTCAAATATATTTTTGATTTGTGATCCTGACAAAAGAGCTTTTCTCCATGCTACTTGCTGCAGTTTTTCATTTGTGTTCCTTGTAAGGAGGGGTCTAGAGGCGGCAGCAGGTTCTTCCAGACCGATGCTTTACCACCGAGATCGCTCAACGTAGAGTCCCGGATCTGACCGTCTAGCTGATGAGAAACGCCCCGAAGAAGCTGCTCTTCTCGTCCATGTCCACCGCGGAGGCGTTGGTGACCGTGACAAACAGGCGGTCGCCAGTGCTGAGCGGGAACAGCCCCCCCTGGTGGGCGGAGTGCAGAGAGAACTGGGATCCCCGGGACCAGCAGGAGGTTCGGCTCGTCTTCATCAGCAGGATGGGAACTGGGTAAGAGCCCATCTGACGGGGAGGAGAGGTGAGTGAGGTGAGATACTGAGAATAAGACCTAAAAGACCTTCTTTTTATTAAACTAGCATCGCCCGTGCACCACTACCATCTCTAAATCAGCTGATTGATTGCCAGTTGGCATCATTCCAAACTATGAACATATCTTATCGTCTTCAATCATGTGCGTTTAGTTTTGCCATCACAAAAGCAGTGATGGCAAATGCTTTCCTCAACCTTATTCGGTCCAAGAATTCCCTCAAAACGTATTAAGTATGAAAAAAGAACTAGATTATTGTTCTAACTTAACTCAGATTAATTTGGCTTCACCTCACTGACTTTTGGGCTGGATCATAATTGTATTACATTATTGGGAAACTTCACAATAACTGTTTATCATTGTGATTATAAACTATTTACTTTACAACAGCTTTAAATAGAGCCTGTGTTTTCTCATGACAAAGCAGAAAGAGATTGTTGTGGCTGTTTGCCACGTGGTGAGACAACAGATGCTTTCAATGACTGGATTCATTAGTCATTTGTCAAAATATCTGAATCATCAGTCTGCCGTGTTCAGTCACAAAAACTAATTTAAAAGTAGCAAGTTCTAAATGTGCACGGCAACTTGCATTACATGTAAAACAAGTCTGATTCAATTCTGTACCAGAGCCCTTTGTTGCATACAACCCCTCCCTGTCTCTCCTTATGTTACGTCTGTGTTTCTACTGTCAGGTCGAATAAAGGCTAAACAAAGTGTGATGAAGGAATTTGCAGAATAACTATGTGACGCATCTACACGAGGGAAAGGGCAGGTTACATTTTAAATTAAAATGACTTGCGAGTCAGAAAATCCACAAGGGTCAAATTAAGGTAAAGCCATATGATAAAAACATTTCAGGGATAAGCTGCAGAATCACTCAACATCATGCGAGAGTATAAAACATGATGTCCCCCTCCTCACCTTTTTATAGACGTACTGCAGCAGGGGTCTCCCTCTGTCCTGGGCCTCCTCTCCGTCCTCGCCCTCCTCCTCCAGGGAGTGGGTGTGTCTGAAGTAGGTCTGGGCGTAGACGTAGTAGAGGCCGGGCGTCGGGACCACCAGCTCCCCGTCCACCAGCTGGACGTCCTGCAGGAAGGCCAGCCCCTTCTGCCCCTCCCACCAGGAGATCTTCTGGCCCTGCACCCGGCGCCCTGCCGAGACTGGAGCTGTGGAGGTACAAAATAAAAATATGTTAAGAATAAATGTACAAGAGAAAATGGGAAGTAGAATGCCCCAAAATGTATTTCGTTATATTTTACTCATTAATATGATAGGGGCGATAAATAAAGAGATTTTTTTTATTTAAATCAAATGCAACCAATGTGATGTTTTGCTTAGCCATAGCTCATTTTCAGCTCATGTCCTTAGAAAAGCAGCATTTTAATAGGGCCTCTCAGACAGTCTGACTTTCAGTATGCAGGCCTCCATTAGTTAATCGGACTGAATTGAAATGGCTCAAGTTAAAATGTACTTTGGTGCTGATTTATATTACAAAGACAATTAGATCTGTACATATGAATGAAGCCCTGAAGCAAATAACTACGTCTTAAGTCTTGTCAAATCCCCCAAAATCTAATTAAAGTCTGTAGGCTATCACTTCTCAAAGATCATCAATCCATACCTTTAGAGATTAGTTTAAAAATCAAACGGCCTACATTATTTTGTT